ATCAGATTTTGAACAAATATAAATCACAACCTATTCGAGAAAAATTTTTTTGGGAACATTCTACTTCAAATACTTACTCGAAAAGAAAAGAAATAATTTCGAGTATAATAAAAATATAATTGATAAAAATCCTAAAAATCATCCATCATATATTGGGGGCATGGAGGATTGTTAGTCAACCGGTATAAACAGCTGTCACCATGTATATTCATCAGCGGTCTAGTAGATACTCGTATACCCAATTGAGTTAACTTTAAAATGAAGGAAACCACATTTTAATAAGTACAGTTTTCGCGCTTATTCAACTCATTTCAAAATACACCTTTTAGATTGGTTGAAATATATTTGTTGATAATCGAAAAAATTATTTTTTAATTTTTGTAGTTCGGCTGTTGATTGACTACTGACCTACATGGCTGTTTTCGATTTTGTATTTTGCTTCCTCATTGGTAGTATGATCAAATATAAATCAAAATGACATGAAAAAGACTTACATGTTGCAGACTGTCATGGGCATGGATGTCATTTCATAATTTGTATTTAAGAATTTTAGTATGATCGGCATTTTAATAGTATATTATGTAACAAGTGTTATAAACGCCTTTTTAGTAACGAGTAGTTTAAGCACGAGCGGAGCAGAGCGGAGCGAGTGTTTAATAAACGAGTGTCTAGAAGAGTTTATAAACGCGTTACATACTATGATTTTTCTAAGAACTCCAAAAATTACATTAATTAACATACCTGCTATTCCTGCTAACCTAAAAAATAATTCGAAAGGAATGGGAATTGAAAACATAATACATACAACTGCATGCAACCAGCGAGACACGTAAAAGTGATATTGGTTGTAGATCTGTCCAGTCCATTGCTTACTAACCTTTGTTTCACGTTTATTGACATGATTAGCGCAGAATAAATAAATTGTTCTCAAAGATGGATGCTTCCTTTTTACACTTCTTGGAGATATGCAAGTACCAGAACATTCTCTTCGATTTCACTCTCGTCTACTTTTCGCATATATTTTTAATGAAGAATTCCGATACAAACGAATATTGTTTGAATAATTCTGATACAAAATATGAAAATAACAGTTGACAGTTAATACAATTGACAGGCCAGATATGTCTCGAATTACTGAAGCTGTGTTTAATGAACTGCGTTGCCATGGTGATGTGTTTAAGAAATCGTGTTGCCATGGTAACGTATTTAATATTTTGAATAAATCACAGATCGACAATCCGTGATTAATCGATCATTTAGCGTGGTACATATCCGTACGATAAATGCCATTTTAGTTATGTGAGTAGAAAAACAAACATTTTCTATATCAAGATCAACCTTACCTCTCACAACTTGACACTACTGACACTTAGCGTCTAGAGACTGAACGCATCAAATATTGCGAACGATATGCTTGCTTATCAACTACTAGATAGCACGTATAGTTAGTTGCATAACTGATTGCAAATGATAATTTTACATGAAATTATTGTTTCATTCATGAAATAATGAATGAACTAATCTTGACAAATACATTACAACATTTATTGATCACAAGAAACATACAATGTTTATAGAGGGAAACAAAAAATTTATAAATGGAATATGCAATACAATGAAAGATATACAGTTCAATCAGAATTAATTGATACAAGGAGAGAGTTGAATTTTCAAAATGTATTTCTTCAGTTCACGATTAAATTTTGTGACAAACCTAATAGATTTTACTCTATTGCGGGTAGACTATTATAAATAGTTATTCCACAAAAATACAATGATTTTTTCCCAGTTTTTTATTTTGAACGTTTTCAAATGTTCGCTTCGTCTGGTGTAATGCTCATGGGTATCAGAATAGATATTGAAAGTAGGATTACAGTTCTTTTTCTTATTTTTAGTGAAATGAATGAAAATGCATACTTCCATTTTGAAGAGATCGAGAGTCAATATCTAGCAGATCCCTTGGTTTGTATAATAATCTAGATGTTGATTCCAGAAATGGTAGTTTATAATTACATGTTATGGCTTTATTTTGAAGAGATTTCAGAGGTATCATTCTTATTATTACATACGAAAATATTCACTGTTGAATTTAGTGCAAAAATGTGCTCATTTATTTCGGCAGGTGTCCCCTCGTACAACGCTTTCTTCCCGATAACCATTTCTGGATCATCCCCCACTGGAAGGCGATCCAGGCCAGGCAATGACGACTACGCACCTTCTGGGTCCGCCACTGCCATCGCTAATGCCTTCTCGACAGGAAAAGGAGGAATAGCCACCAGTCACGCCACTTCTTTGGGTGATCCCTATCTGGCATCCATGTTTTTGAGGAACGGGATGGTCAATTTCAGGAATAAGAAGCCAGAACAGGAAGCGTAAATGGGATAGATAGTATTATAGTTTCGATATCGAGTAATTTATTTGTAGTTGTTCTGTCGAGAAATAAAGTGATAATTTTTTAAGTGTTGTTTATTGTTTTTAACTTCTAAGAATACAGAATTCTTAATGATCTCGCTTGATCGGTAATTTCGACTATTTCACTCATCACATATAGTCTGACCAATCACAAGCCAGAGGCAATTTCTTGATTCACAAATAGCTAATGAAAGGGAGAAATATCCCTTTTGCGAGTATCAAAACGTGCCGCAATTCAAACTGATCTAAAATAATGACAGAGCGTCAATATTTACATCAATATTTCGCCATCGTCTGAAAGATGATATCCGATGGACCAGTGTGAAACTGATGTGGTGCTCACACTACAAGTATTTGAATCCATATGAGTTTCCAGTGCCGGATTTATACTCCCTTACGCCGGGGGCTAACTTTTACGATGCCGCCGCGCCGCCGCCAAATAGTTAATTTTCGATTGTCAGTTTCAAAATTCAAATGATCCTTTCAGTGCTTTTTTTACAGCACATAACAATAACATGAAATTATTATGTACAAGGAATCAAATTATATTCACTTCACACGTTGAACATAACAACAAACAACAAATATTTTTTTCAGATGAATACTAAAATACTTTTCTTAATTTTTTTGATGCAAAGTCGTCAATGGCATCATCAAAATTTAGATTTAATAACATGTCACTATTAATACTTAGAATTGTTAAGTATACAATATATCCTCTACCGTGGAATTCCTGAGGTAGATTTTCACTCTTTTTAAAGTTGAGAATGACCTTTCACCACTGGCATTAACTAATCATCAGGGATAGTAAAAAAATTCTCACTTATTGCCAATATTCAATGAATTAGAAATTGTGATTGTGAACCAGGACAGTTTTCCTAGAAAATTTTCAGTTCAGAAAAATTAATTTCCGTTTCACTTTTCATGGAAGCACCCCCGTATATCACGTAATTATTTCAGAACAATCTGCAAGAGGAAGGGAAAGTCCAAAGATGAAGTCAATTACGTAAGATACGGGGTGCTTCCGTAAAAAGTGCGACAGAATTTATTTTTGAAGAGAAAATATGAATAGTTAGTAAATTGGGCGTCCTAATTCCGAATATGAAGTGATTTTCGACCTATTATGACTTCTAATATTATTTTCCGGAAATTGGGATGGTTCCATGGCTGTTGGCGAGCAGTGTATATCACTGAAGATGCATTTGGTCAGTGGCGGATCTACGATTTCTGGGGCCCTAAGCTTGATAATTCTTGGGGCCCTTGTGGCCCCTACCCATCATTTTTTCTCCTCCTGTTATTTCTTCTCACCAATTTTCCCATCTAACATTTTCTGACCAAATAGAAGCGAAAAATGCATGATGAAAAGATATACAAGGAACAAAAAAAAGTGCATTCATTGATATGGTTTAGGATATATATAATAACAAATAAAAAAAATCAGAGCCACATGAACGTAACTATAACATTGACTAGGATCAGATACGTTCAAAATAAAAGAACTAAACCGTAACGAAATTACTAGGAGAAACATATACTACGATATCACTTCAACTTTCTGATTCACGAATCTGCGAATACTTTCATTGCACCATCATAAATCGAACTGCTCATCAAATCACTTCCGATGGAAAGCATTCCCAGAGTTTGTTATGTTCTCTTCGGAATTAGGTACACAATTTGATTTGATCATTGATAATTTTGAAAATAAACGCTCTCCTCCGCAATTGGTCACTGATGGCAGTGTTGAAAACAAGTTCAATGTAGTATTTTTGCATTGAAAAACACGTCCATCATTCCTTCAGTATCCAGGGTCCCGCCGATTTCATAGGAACATTATTACTATTTCCTTAACGGTATACGTTTTGCAGATGAAAAAAAATTGCCGTTCCTGAAAAATTGGAATGAAAAAACAGAAAATCATTTTGTATTTACTGTTGATATTTTATCTAAATCGAAACGGCACATGTTTTTTTTTTTAGTTTGCAAAATGCCATATCGAGGAAGTTATTGAACTTTTGTCGGATTTAAGCAACTTTCTTTCCCTTAACCGGACCACTGTCGCTATGAGATCGGCAGGACCCTGCTTATGGTTTTCAACATTTTTGGAATGTTGCCGCTGCTTCTAGGTATATAAAATAAATACCTATTGCTCAAAAGAGAAATTCATTTCAATCATTATTTCATCTATACAAACGAATGATATGGGAAAATAGTCATGCAATGCCAGGGCCCCTCGGGGGCCCCTGCAAGGGTCGGGGCCCTAAGCTTGAGCATACTAAGCGAACCGGTAAATCCGCCACTGCATTTGGTATATCTCTCGCTCCAGTGAATTTCAGGATCCTTACCCAACGATTCCGTATGATACAGGGGTGTTTGCATTAGAAGTGGGTCACACTGTATACCTGGATTTGTAATCATTGTCATGCCATTTTTTCTAAAATATAGTTTACAAATCGATCAAACTCTGTTAGTTTTGGATGCCCATAAATTGATAAATACAGAAAATAAATATTTTGAGTACGGTATTTTTGGAAAGTTCTTCAGAAGGTCTTTCCAATGGTGAGAAAATATATTGGATGTCCTATTTGAAATTCATACACTTTTTGCTGCTTCCTGTATATTTTTTCAGATACTTGGTGAACACGTATCTTGTGTATCGAGAAGAAAAAAAATCCCCTGTGGGTTTGTTTTTTTAGGTCAAAAATAAAAAACTTACAGGGTGTGATACTTCATAACGTGTCCCTCAGTGGATACATATAATAGGTATTGCATTTTTTTTGTATGTACTTATATGTTAACACAAATAAATAAAAATAAATAAGTACTTATGACTAACTGATACCTAACTACGATTTACTTAGTTCCTCCTGTATTTCCTGTAAACTCTTTCCCTTAGTCTCGATCAAATAAAAAATGCTGAACAGCCCCGCCAGTAGGCAAAAACCAGAAAAAACAAAAAACGTCTCCCCCAATCCCAACACACTCACAACCTGCTCAAAATACTTGGTAACAACAAAAGACAAAATCCAGACGAACGTGGAAACGAACGCCGTTGCAACAGATTTCATTTTTGCTGGTAACAATTCCGACAGCATGGTCCAGGGCAATGGTCCGAAACCCATATTGAAAAAAACAATGAAAATCGCCAGGCTCATCACTGGAACGAAGGCGAACAATTCTGTGCTTGCTCCTTGTCGTTTTAAGTAGCAGTAAGTGCCCAAGGGTACTTCAGAAACTACCATACCCATAGCTGAAAGTAGGAGGATTAACTTCCTACCATACCTAAAAAAGATAAAGAACTATACCAGACCCTTTCAACTCAAAATTCGGACTTAGGTATCATTCTCGAATTAGGACTTGATATCCCCGGATCGACTGAACAAATTCAAGATCAAAATGATGATTAACCTACACACAGTATTTGAAGAAACATGCTTTTATTCACGACTGTTGTATAACATATTCATAATACATGTACTTCCTCAAGCAAAACGGTAGCCATTTTTCACACTAGTGAATAATAGCAGTGAATAACCATAATTCGGGTGGCGGAAATTTGATCGAAAGACAAATGATAGAAACACATTTGATAGAAGTCTTTTGGTTGAAAATCAAAAAATAGAAAGAACATTTGATCGAATGTTTTATTCATTTGTCTTTCGATCAAATTTCCGCCACCCCCATAATTCACTGGTCTAGGTTCCTAGGATACGTGATATAACATATAAGGAACTTTAGACCAATGAATAATGGTTATTCACCGCTATTATTCACTGGTGTGAAAAAAAAGCTACGCTCGTGACATAAACTTAACATTCGTGAATAATAGCCCTCAATATGTGTTTGTTGAATATTATACTATTATAGATAGCCAAACTGAAAATTGTTGAAATATATTTTGCACGAAATACAACTTTTTGTACTGGGTGGCGGAAATTTGATCGAAAGACAAATGATAGAAAAACATTTGATAGAAGTCTTTTGATCGAAAATCAAAAAATAGAAAGAACTTTTCACCGAAAATACATTTGATCGAATGTTTTATGATAGAAAATACATTTGATAGAAACATGAATGATAGAAAAAATATTTGATAGAAAATACACTTGATAGAAACAGCATTTGATAGAAAATTCAACGGGGCTACGCTCAAGTTAGGTCAGTTCGTTTGTGAGAATATGTTCCTTCCTCATATATTTGAGAAGAAGGAGCTGGAAGTTTGTGGTATCAATAAATTCATAAGCTTCGATTTCCATCTAGCTCCTTCTTCTCAAATATATGAAGAAGGATCATATCTTCACAAACGTACTGACCTAACTTGAGCGTAGCCCCGTTGAATTTTCTATCAGATGCTGTTTCTATCAAGTGTTTTTTCTATCAAATATTTTTCCTATCAATTGTATTTTCTATCATTTATGTTTCTATCAAATGTATTTTCTATCATAAAACATTCGAGCAAATGTATTTATATCAAAAACACTTTCGATCAAAAGACTTCTATCAAATGTTTTTCTATCATTTGTCTTTCGATCAAATTTCCGCCACCCTTTTGTACTATTTTGGTCAATTTAATTCGACAAACATTAGAATATTATAGATACGAAGTTTCATCGTTGTGAGTTTTACAGGATGATGTCTCTAGGTCAACCAAAACTCAGTAAAACGAAAGTTGAGGTTCACCATTTCGAAAAATCAAAAAAACCGATTATCACTGACTTCACCAAAATCTGAAGTTGTTCTAAAGTTGTCTCTACTGAAAGAGCTGTCAAATATAATACAAAGAGAATTACAGACAATCACTCACCGAAGAAATCAAGGAAAAAATAAATTATGTCGATCACAATAATATACCGATTTTGGAGAAATGGAATAAAAATTTGAGATGACTTTATAAAAATTGTTATAGTATGCAGAATATTTTCTCAAGTTAATAACCATTAATCATATTTTTAGGAAAAAGGATATGGATCATAGTAAAATTTTTTTCAATTTCATTAATTTTTGGTTGACATGTAGAGAGATCTTCCTGAAACTTCGTAATGTTCGATGTGTTTCTCCATTGAATGACTACTTCACCGGTGGTAATATAAACTAATTTGATTTTGATACAGGGTGAATTGAAAAAGCAATAATAATAACAAAATTTGCCGGTAAAATTTTGTATGAGGATGTCAGCCATGCTTTTTGAATCGAAAAGGTTACCACTCTTTCGAAAAAAAAATATGCCTGATAGTCGCTTTTGAAATTTTGACCCCTTGAACTAACAATATAGTATAGTACGTGGGGGGTTTTTAACGCAAAAGGTGGGGTAATAGTCATTCTTAGTACCTATGTTGTTTGGTATGGGGCCCTTATGAAAACAACATACTAAAAAATCGTTAGATTAGATTTGGGATGGGGCCTTCGGGCTATCTGCCTCCACACTGCGACCTTTTCAGATCTATTGTGCCTGCCCTCAAAATGGATTAGAGTTCTTCGGCTAGCCCCGCCTTCTCTATGAGACTCCATAGGCTAGCTTTCAGATTTCCTGTGTATCTCTGGGCTCCTGGTTTTTCCTCACCCAGCGTAAGGAACCTTAGTCTTGACAAGCCCTCACAGTGGCAAAAGTATGAGTACTGCTGTTTCTTCCTCTTCTTGACAGAACCTGCACAGCAGTTCTTCATCAGTCAGACCTATCGTACTCATGTGTTTGTTGAGCCTACAATGCCCTGTGAGAAATCCCACTAGTATTCTAGTTGAACTTCGTTTCTGGCTTAGTAGATATTCTGTGAATGTTGGCGATGGTTTTTTAATAAACTCTTTTGCCTGTCTCATTCCTGGCGAGTTGTTCCACCATTCTTGAGATTTAGTTTGCATCCATGATTTGATACTAGTCTTTTGTATATCTTTCGCAATACCACAGAAGGGTTCTGGGCCATTAAGAGCTTTGTTTGCTTCTGCTCGGGCAAGTGAGTCTGCCTCTTCATTGCCCTCGTACCCTGTATGGGCTGGTACCCATGCTAGAGTCAATCTGTTCTGACTGCCCAGTGCATTTATGGTTTCTAAGCAGTCCCATACTAGTTTTGAGTTAACTTGCATAGAGCATAGAGTTGACTGCTTTAATTGCCGCCTGGCTATCTGAATAGATTGCAATGGTTTTGCCTTTAAACTCTTGCCTTATCAATTCTTTCACGCAATGATGTATTGCAATAATTTCTGCCTGAAACACCGTCGCGTAAGCTCAGTGAGATTCTTGTCTTTGGCTTGGCCCCATAAATACCAGCTCCTGATCCTTCCTCAGTTTTGGAGCCGTCCGTATAGACAGCAATGTCTGCATTGATAGGAGGTCCTCCCTTCCATGCCTCTCTGTCCGTTATACTTATTTTAAAAGTTTTTTCAAAAAAATCGTTACTGTTAAAATATATCTAACCACGGAGTCTTTCTGATCGGTTCTTAATTATTTGAGGAAATTTATAAATATACTTTTATATAAAGCTGACGTATATTTCAACTCAACACTCTGACATATTATTCAATTACATAGTAACCCAAACAAAAACATCATATTATAACTACGTTATTTTGTGGATTCCAACACTTCCTCCCAAAATACACGTTGTTATAATTCGATTTTAATGACACCTAACATTCTTCTCATTTCCACAAATTTTGTAGAAGGCATTGGTTTCGTCATCACATCTGCGACTTGATTCGCACTACTGATGTGTTGGATCTGCATAACACCTTCTTGATACTTTTCACGAATGAAATGAAACCTGATTTCTATGTGCTTTGATCGTTTGTGAAATTCGGGGTTTTTCACTAACTTGATAGCACTGGCATTATCGATATACAGTGTTGTATTAACTTCTTGTCCAGTTATTTCTTCCAAGAGTCGCTTCACCCATACCAATTCTTTTGTTGCCTCACTTGCAGCGATATATTCGGCTTCAGTAGTTGAAAGAACAACACTATTTTGCTTTTGGCTGAACCAAGTTATGGCCGAATCAGAGAATTTACAAACTATCCCTGTTCGCGAACGTCTAGTCTTTTGGTCACCTGCATAGTCGGCATCACTGAATACACTCAGTATTTCGGATTCAGGGTTCGCTTTATAAATCAGTCCAAAATTGATCGTTCCACGTAAATACCTCAAAATACGCTTAACTGCGCGCCAATCTGAACATTTTGGTGAATTGCATTTTTCTGATACAACACTCACTGCGTACGCGATATCTGGACGTGAAATAACCATCAGATACATCAGACTACCAACAGCTTCACGATATGGTATCCGACTATCTATGTCCTCTTCATCGCTTTCAGTTGAAAAGTTAGTGTCACAAGGTATAGCTACTGCATTTGAGTCTGCCATATTGAAGCGGTCCAATATTTTATTCACATATGCACTCTGATTGATGAAGATATCGCCATTGATTGACCTTTTTATCTGCATACCCAGAAAACTGTTCAAAGAACCAACAGTAATTTTGAAGTTCTCATATAAATTTCTGATGAACAATTCAATTTCATTTTCATCACTACCTACGACTAGTCCGTCATCAACATAGATTGCAACTATGAGTTTTCGTTGATCACTAGTACGTAGGAATAAACATGGATCAGCGCTGCTGACTGTCATCCCTTGTTTGTTGATAAAATCAACGAATCGTACATTCCAGCATCGAGAAGATTGCTTTAGCCCGTACAGACTACGATTTAGCTTGCATACTCGCCCTGTACCATCGTCAAAACCTTCAGGTTGCCTCATGTAGATTTCTTCGTGAAGTTTTCCATACAGAAAAGCGGTTTCTACATCGAACTGTATCATTTTCAACTTTTCTGATGCAGCGACACTAAGTAAAGTCCTTACTGTATCAAAACGCGCTACAGGACTGAATGTTTCTTCATAGTCAATGCCAGCTCTTTGACTATAGCCTTTTGCTACTAGTCTGGCTTTGAATCGACTCACACTCCCATCTTCCTTTCTCTTCAATTTGAACACCCATTTATTCGGAATGATTTTCTTGCCTGGAGGTAAATCAACCAAATCCCATGTGCTATTTTCACCCAGAGATTCCATTTCTTCCCGCATGGCTCTTTTCCATTGGTCGATCTCAGAAGATTCAATCGCTGCATTGTAGCTTTCTGGTGCATCACATTCGGCAAGCAATATAAAGTCTTTCAGATGTGAGGGAATATGAATTCTTCGACCACTGCGTTGCGAAATAGGTTCACGATTGACATTACTTCCTCCTGGAATCTCAGGTTCATCACTTCTTCGACTGATCTCTATGTCTTCATTATTTTCTTCACATTCTCTTGGGATCTCAGGTTCGTCAATGCTAATCCCAGAATTTTCACTGTTTTGCTGATTCACAAAATGCTTTGCATTTGTTTCAGAACTATGAGAAACATCAACACTGTCTTCCGTATTGATTTTCACTTCAAGTTCAATTTTCTTTTCGAAGACGTGTTCTGAGCTAAAAATGATATCTCTACTCGTTATCACTTTATTTTCGTTTGGTAACCAGACTCTATAGCCATCTTTCTCTCCGCAGTACCCTACAAAATGTCCTTGCTTACATTTTTTGTCCCATTTACGTCTTCGCTGTGCAGGTACATGAACATAGCATTTAGTTCCAAAAACACGTAAATGGTCAATGTTGACAACTTTACCTTGCCATAATTCGATGGGTGTTTTGTCCTTCACATTCGTTGGACCTGTTCTATTCAGAACATATGAAGCTGTATTGACGCCTTCAGCCCACAAATTTATTGGCAAACTTTTTGTATGCATCATAGTTCTTGCAGATTCTACTAAGGTTCGATTTTCTCTTTCCGCCGCACCGTTCTGTTGTGGTGAGTATGGCATCGTGACACGAAAATTGATTCCATTAGCTTGGAGAAGAGCTCTAACTTCTGCATTATCAAACTCCTTTCCGCCATCGCTAAGAAACTCTATGATTTTATTGTTGCATACTTCAGCTTCCTTCAGGAATGTTCGTAGACATTGTACCACTTCATCCTTCGTTTTGATAAAGAACACTCGACGAAATTTTGAAAAATCGTCCTTAAAACAGAGGAAGTATCTGGAACCACCCAACGAGTTCTCTTGCATGGGTCCACAGACATCGGCGTGGATTAATCCTCCTGGTTTAGTCGGTCTGTTCTCTCTGGATCTGAAAGGCACCCTGTGTTGTTTTCCAAAAATACAACCCTCGCAGAAATTTTCGTCATTGTCCTGGACTATATTTACATCATGACGTTTCAAAAATTCTTTGACATGTTTCTTATTTTGATGACACAATCTTTCATGCCATAATTGAAGGCTTCCTGTCGAGGTTGCGATGTACACATTAGCGGAATATTCTGGAACACATACTTTCATATCCAGAGAATAAAGGCCTCTTGAAGTCCTAGTACCTTGCAATTTGACGATACCGTTCTTCATAATCGAACATCCAGAGTGATCGGCTATGAACTCGAAACCCTTCTCAATGGTTTGTCCGACAGAAAACAAATTCTTGTTCGCTTCGGGTACGTACCACACGTTTTCTAAATGGTTTTTGTACCATTTTCCGGAAACTTTCATCTGGACATTTATTTCTCCACGACCGTATGCTTGGATAACAGCACCATTCCCAACAAGTATTTCTTTAGGAGAATGGAATGGTTCGTACGTAAGGAAGTACTTTTTATTACTGGTCATGTGCGCGGAGGCGCCTGTATCTGCTATCCATTCATCATTTTGAGCAAAATCATTGAGATTCTCATTGAAAACACATGAGAAAGCATCTCCTTCAAGTTTATTTGGTTTACTTGAATTTGCTCTTCCCCTTTCTTGCGATTTCTTTGGACAGTTCCTGGAAAAATGTCCAATCTCGTGGCATTTAAAACATTTTCTCACTGGTTTAAATGGTCTGCTAACTTTCTTAGAATTCGCATTTTTCGGAAAAGATTTTGCAACAAACGCAGATGATTCACTGTATACAGGTTTCGCAGGTAATCTCATTTCGATCAGACGCAGACGTTCGGTGAGTTTGTTTATAGTTCTCTCTTCAACGGGTACGGACTCCCATACACTTTTGAATTCAAAGTATTCTGGTGGGAGCGTAGACATAACTCTACTCATGAGCAATAGATCTGGCAATTCAGTATGCACAAGTCGTTTCAATTCGTCGTTTAATTCTCTGAAATTTCTTTGGAAACGAGCTATGTGTGTTGCTATGTCTTCAGTTGAATCCATTTGGCTACTGAAAAATTGCTCCATTAATCTATCAACACGTTGTCCAGAACTTTGTTCATAAACTGATAAAAGTTTATCCCAAATAGCATTCGCGTTATCACAAGTTGCTGTCAACTCCACGTTCGCGTCATTCATACTGCCTACAAGTATAAGTTGAGCTAGTGCATCACTTTTCTTGAACTTTCTCAATTCGATGTCATAACTCGCTTGAACATCTGCTGAGGCAGTTTCGGGTGGCTTCACAGGTATCGTGCTCTCACCTTTCACTATATCGATAGTTTCATGGTGACTTAGTAGCAACTCAATTTGCCTTCGCCATTTCATCCAGTTCGAAGCTCCTTCAAGTTTTTCAATCTGCGGCTTGAAATCCATATTGAAGATATGTTATGACCGTACACCGACCAAATAAAGAAATATAATAAGACTCTATCCTCCGTTCAGTTATCTCCCTTTTAGTAATTTGCGTCTTCTGGGCCCATAACCTGTTAAAATATATCTAACCACGGAGTCTTTCTGATCGGTTCTTAATTATTTGAGGAAATTTATAAATATACTTTTATATAAAGCTGACGTATATTTCAACTCAACACTCTGACATATTATTCAATTACATAGTAACCCAAACAAAAACATCATATTATAACTACGTTATTTTGTGGATTCCAACAGTTACGACCCCACCATTTGCATTCAAACACCCTTATTCGATATATCCACGTACTGGGCTAAAAGTAGACCATGAGAAAATACCTGTCAACTATGCAAGGCGTTAGGAAGCTGCTCAAAAACTGGGTAAAGATTACGATGATTGTGCAATATTCGGGATTCAAGGTCGTTCCAGACTCTTCGAATATTATTTGGCTGTAAAACATAACAGCATTTATTCCAGAAACCTGTTGAAAAAAGAAGAGACCCATCGACATCACCAATGCTCTGATGAATGCTGTTGATCTGTAAAAAAAATATTTTGGAGAAAAGTACGTACGGGAATCCGCAAAAATATCAATCCAAAATTTGAGCTAGATCGAACCTGAATAGATCCATCAAGCTTGAAGAATCTTCTTCAGGTTTAACACTCGCTTCTAACTCCAGTATTTCCTTCGTAATCAGATCTTCTTTTCTTCCCAATTTCCTCAAAGCAACTGCTGCTAAATCGCCATGTTCTTCTCGGACCAGAAACAAAGGACTCTCTGGTGCCAAAAAGAAGAAAGACAATAGGAATATCAAGGGTGGCATCGCTAAAACTAAAACAAAAATATTAGAATATAGTTCAGCACAGAATAATAGAGTTGTTCTGCTTACAATGATTACCTTCGATACACTACCTAAATTGAAGAGCTGAACGGATATGAATGGTCCCAAAGAAACGCTGAATAATAGCCCCAGGCAGCAGAAACACCCCATGGAAGAACTGATTGCTCCCCTATTGTCTTTCTCAGAAATTTCTGCTAAGTACATTGGTAAAAGTGTGAAAACGCCTCCTACACCTATACCTGTCAAAAACCTGAAAAAAAAAAGATAAAAATATCAAGTCTTTCTCGGTTTATTCAACAGAAAACGACTACTTTCCTGACTATATGCCACGACGAAAATCTTCTAGTTGAGAATTTGCATTCTCCCTCAGATATCATTTTTCACACCAGTGAATAATAGCGGTGAATAACCATTATTCACTGGTCTAAAGTTCCTTATATGTTATATATCTTACTATAGGAACTCTAGACCAGTGAATTATGGTTATTCATTGCAATAATTCAGTGGTGTGAAAAATCGCTACCGTTTTACTTGAGGAAGTACATGTATTATGAACATTTTATACAACAGTCTCAGATAAAAGCATGATTCTTTGAATACTGTGTGTAGGTTAATCATCATGCTCCCCTTTTGGATGTTCAACAGATATAATTCAATGTTCGAAGTGGCAAATAGCCAGGAAAGTAGTTGTTTTCTGTTGAATATTCATCAGGATGATGTTATATGCATATAAATATTTTAATCTGAAGATTTTGTGTTCAAATTCTTATCGTGTGTGTTCAATAGATATATCGTCGTGGCATATAGCCAGGAAAGTAGTTGTTTTCTGTTGAATAAACCCAGAAAGAATTGATATTTTTATTACATAGAGAATGCGAATTCCCAACGTATTTCTTTATAAATATCCATTATTTCATGTTCATAATTTATCTGAGAATATTCCTTTTCGATAATAATGTGGTTGAAGTTTCATGAACCCTTATCCTTCATTCACCAGTATACAGAAAAGTGCACCAAAGAACGGCCACAGGCCACTGCTGCATAACTTCTAAATCATTCGAGATCGGATTTTGAGAATTGGTGGATAGAGAGTATTCCAAATTGCTCATTAATTGACGAAACAATTTTTGTTCTATCATTCCTGGTTTCATCATAATCGACCCCAACTTCTGATTTTCAAATGAGACACCCTATATTTCATTCCATAATCGGTTAGTGCTTATCATAACGGTTTCAACGATACCAGATTTGATAAGGTTATTTCAAACGATTACGAATCTTGCAGAAGGAGCCTTCCACGATTTTTGTTTATGGGAACTTTTTTATTTTCTTCAGACGCCCTATCACCTTTCTAAGTGCGTCCCACATATCACGAAACACCCTGTATATAATCGATTTTTTGTTATTGAGAATCGGTCAACGGATTCCAAATTAGGAGGGTGGGGCGAGTTAAAATTGCACACACTGTATAATTACCTTCCCACGTAAAATAATTCCACAGTTTGACCGAATCCTAGCAAAACATAACCGAGAAAAAATGGCGCACCCAGGTATAACAACGTAGGTTTTCTGCCTATGGTATCGGATAGGTATCCAAACAGGAAAGGGCAAACTGAGGCTCCCAGGATGACCAAGGACGATATCCAGGAAGATTCTTCAGCAGAAAGCATCCTTTTCCATGGGGTTTCTGTTGCATTGTTGAGTTTTGGTATCTCTGAGGACGACCAAGTCAAAGCTGTTCCAGAAATGAAACAGAGAAGATTGGCTGAAAAAAAAACAATTGAGTGTATCTAAATAGCACCGCAAAAATTCAATCGGTGATTCTGTGATGAAAATGATGGTTACACCCCTGGGAAGATCAACAAAAAAAGGTTTTTCTTTTTTATTTTCCCTGTATAATCAACTAATGACATGAAAGTGGTGAATATTATTTGTTAATAAAACTACACATTTTGAGATTTTTTCAATCCTGAAGTATGATTAAAAGGGGCTGAAATATTCAACCCCCAAAGTATTTTTTCTTTTTTCAGTAAAATAGTACATTATAAGTAAAAATAATACTGTGGCGGGAGGAGAAGTTAGTTTCTCCGGTAACAAAAGAGGAGCAGAAGTGGCGTTTCATTCCCTAGGGAGATAATGTGACATATTTTCACCCTTCTCTAAAGCGAGTATAAGCTGCATCATACAGATTTCTAGATCTCACTGAAGCAGTATCAATAGTTTTTTGGGGTTTTCCCTCGATTTCTTGTTCCATACCGTTAATCATTTTCAAAGCTGCTTTCATAAATTTCAGTTTGATATTTGCTGTCACCATGGGTTGTCAACAAAATTATAAGATTACGAAAACTGGAGATGGAAATTTTCTAGTTACACTCCGATCGGAATGCTATATACAGTCTGTCCAAGATAAGGTTGAACAGCATGGGGATCTCGAAAACGGTAGGAGATCCGAAGTCGGTTAAATAGGGAAAAAGTTGCGCATTCGGAGGCTCATATCAAGAGCCTTCGAAAACTTTTAAAATTATTTTTAGTTTTTTAGTTATATCGAAAAAAGTGAATTTTTGGAATATCTATTTTATTTTGTTTCTCCGTTATTATTAGAGATATAGAAAAACTGAAAATACTTTTTCATAGCAACTTTTGATGACGTTTAACGTGGTTATACCGATTTTTTTATGCGACGTTTCGTATCCGTAGAACCATCATCAACTTTTGTTTTTTAAAATACGGTCCTGATAATTTTTTCACAGATTCTGAAAGGTTTTTTTATTCTGAATTCAACCATGTATTATACAAGGTGATTCGAATGTGTTTCGACCTATGTCTATCCTTCATCAATGTTTTTTCGAACTTCCAAAGGAAAAGTGCCATCAGTTCCATTTATTTCTGATCATTTAGTGTCGAACATTGATGGATTAGTTATTCAATACTGAAAAGTGAATAAAAAATATTTCACCACATCATTCAATGCAGCGCTTAAAATTGTTGATGAATTCTTACACGAATTACTTCAACAGCTTAACTTTGACAATACCTTCAGAAACATTCATAACAAATGTTCAAAATGATAACCATTATTTTCTGAACAAAGATATCCTCTTCTCACAGTTGCTTCTAAGACATTACTAAGCATTTCTGGGGTTATTCTATTGAATGCTTCGATGACACTGTCCCTTAGTTCTTCTTCATCATCAAAGCTATTTGCGTGTACAAAGTTTTTGATATATCCCCTAAAAAAAATCCAGCTGTGTCAAATCAGGTGACCGCGCCGGCCGCGACTGCAGAAAGAGTACCAATCCATTTTTCTGGATAAAAACGCACGAACTTCTCTGGAATTATGTACCGGAGCGCCATCTTGTTGAAACCAACAGTTCTGAACTTCCGCAATCATTAAATCATCCAGAGCTTCCTCAAGATGATTCTCAAGCAAATTTGTATAACGTTAGGAAGTCTGTGTTTCATGGTAAATAAAAGGACCAATAATTCGTGTATACCAAATATTGCAACCCACATATAAAAGCCGAAACGGTGTTGGTGTCTCGCTGTAATGTATAAATGTTCATTTTCTCGTGAACAATAATGTGTATTTTTTCTATCGAAGATACCATGATAAGTGACCATGCTTTCATCAGTCCAGATGATTGTTCGCGGGAAATCTGCAAAATTTTGACATTTCCTGGTATACCACTCACAGAATGTCCTGCGCCTTTCGTCATCGCCTGGTTTTAGCGCATGACATATTTTGAATTTGTATGGATGGAATTTTTGTTTCCGCAAAATGAAATGGGTTGTTGATTGAAACCAGTTGATGAGGTATTAGTGTGTTGACTAATTTTCCTTCAAAATAAGTGGAACTGATGGCATTTTTCCTTTGGAATTTCGAAAAAACATTGATGATGGTTAAAAATAGGTCGAAACACACATAAACCGCCTTGGTTGAATTCAGAATAAAGAAACCTTAAAAATTATAAGGACCGTATTTAAAAAACAAAAGTTGATGATGGTTCTACGATCACCACGTTAAACGTCATCAAAAGTTGCTATGAAATAGTATTTCGAGTTTTTCTGTATCTCTAATAATAACGGAGGAAAAAAATAAAACTGATATTCCAAATATTCACTTTTTTCGATATAACTAAAAAACTAAAAATAATTTTAAGAATTTTTGAAGGCTCTTGATATGAGCCCCCGAATGCGCAACTTTTTCCCCATTTAACCGACTTCGTATCTCCTACCGTTTTCGAGATCCCCATGCTGTTCAACCCTATCTTGGACAGACTGTATACCTATTATGGAGAAACCGTTGTCATATATCTCACTGAAAACTGCTATAGATGTTTTCCTGCACAATATCGAACTAACCTGAGAAAACTGCTAGGTACAACGATCTGATTTCCGGAAAGAACATTTTCCTCGGCACTTCAAACTTCATGTGCTAATATTTCGCATCGGTCGAGCAAGTAGGTGCAACTGACGACGATAATAATTGTGTGAAAAAAAAATAATGGTGAACTTGAATTCGACCGTTTCATTTATAAAATCACTGGGATTCGCTTTTCGTTCTTGATAAATGTTTGTCGCGTCCGAGAGTCCTAGCTGAAGGACTTTCTGTACGTGTTTTCCGGAAACGATTATTAAAACGTTTGCGATTCAATGATAAAACCATTTTCGTCTCCTCGAACGATTTCAAATACAGGGTGATAAAGTATGGATAATTCTTTTGGAGCGCACGAAAGGGCATTACTATTAATTAGAGGAACCTCGTGCGTACCTAGAGAGGAGGCTCTTGGAAATTTTTCCCTTGGCAAAGAATCGCAAATATTTGCGATATATTTATTTATATAGTGACAATAGTTTTATATTTTAGTTTCACAAAACTAAAATGATTGAAATGTATTGGTAGTGGTGAAAAAAATTTAATATACACCTTGGTAGTGAAACATAATATCACCACGTGATTTATATCCCTCGGCTGAAACCTCGGGATATAATCTTGGTACCTGGGTAATACTGATATTTTTTACTACTTTCGTGTATAAATACTATCACTAAACTATAAATATCATTTTTACCCAGGGATCAAGATTATATCCCGAGGTTTATAATAAATTGTTTTCATCCCTAGCAATATATTTCAATCATTTTAGTTCTGTGAAACCAAAATATGGACCTATGGCACTATGGAAGCAATAGCCAGACAAATCGTTATTGATATAAATACCTACTAGATTCGAGTGCCATTCCTGCGAATCTTTGATCAAAACAGTGCATTCGGATTGATTACAACAAAGGTGGCTGTCTTCATCGACTAGTGGTTCATAAAATGATAAAATGGCGAAAACTACCTTGGTAGTAAAAACACATTTTACGCCTCGAAAAGGAGTAAATAATGGTATAGCTATAGTTGTGGAAAAATAACTATTGCAATACTTCTAGCACAAAATAAACCAGGATATCGGTAGATACGATTATATATAGAATTTTTTGCTTTGTATTGTTATAAGTTTTTGATATAATAATATGTGTTTAAGTTCATGATGCGTGTTTTTCATCTCTAGCAGTATTTTACTCTCATTATCCATTGTAATGATATATAAGATTCAGTAACAATCGCGTATTATTTTGTGATCGGCGAACCATAACGAATAATTTCACTAAAAATGAATGAGTTGGTATCTACACCTACTCTAGCTTCGAATAAGAATCAGTGTATGTAGAAATTTTATATGTCTATATACCTACATTAATGGATCTGCTCCTTTTCTTGTGAGTTTTTGTTAAATGGAAGCTATCAAAATCATACATATACAGATATAGATCAAGGAGATGCAGATATTGTCGAATACATTTTTCCAGCAATTTCCAACGGGGTAGTACACAATCAATCACACCGTGTATAAATAGTATTTGTTTCAGTCATTCGTTATTTCAAATCATCGCAAATATATTTTTTCTACTCCTTACTCGGTAAGTACTTCATTTTGATACTGATTTGAGGGAGGAAAACACGTTCTACCTCCCTAGGGAGGTAAGTAAATATTTACCTCCCTAGGGAAGCAAGTTAAATAAACTTCATAATTTAACCTAAAAATTGAACTCTTTATTTTAAATTAACATTTATAGTACAATTTGAAAAATTACTGTTTGAAAAACGTGGGGAAACCTCTTGCAGCTGTTTGGACACTTCTACTGTTGTGCTTATGTTATCAGAAATTCTTGTTACAGCGCTGGTCAATGTGGTAGGCAGATGAATAGCAGATGAATTTGAATCGCTGTTATTCTTGTTATAAAGAATTTTGTTTGCCACCTCGTTCTTATTGCAAAGACTATCAGCAACATAACCTTCAGCAACCGTCTCCGACTTCCAGCCCCCATGTCTTTTAAGAGCTAAAACACTTGAACCAGTGTTAGCTAATAATGTGGCAGACGTTCTTCTAAACGAATGGCCGGTATAAGCTTCAGCGTTAGGCAGTCTGAGAAATTTTGCTATTTTTGTGGGAATAGCTGAAAAAGTGTTCTTTCCCACAGGCTGATTCAAGCATTTGCCTTCTTGGTATCTCAAAAAAAAAGCGTTGTTGGGGTCTTTCAACCAACGATCTTATTTTGAGATATCTTTTATCTATCCACGGTTACCAGCCGAGTAGTGCTTCGGATGACACTTAAAAAGCTAAGGTCCCCGTCTTCTTAACTCACACAAGTCTCTGACTTTCGAGGGTTGCTTTGCAACTAAGCTGGCGGTTAAAAAACACTTTTTTTTTTTTTTAAAAATGTTTAAATGGCAGATTTTACTGTCTTTGTCTGCAGTGATCAGGTATATTGATTATAATTAAATTTTCCATTTCCTGGACATTCTCTACACTCAGATCGCATAATTCTTGTGAGCGGCATGCTCCAGCAATCCCGACGACCATCACTACCTTCATTAATAAAAAACTTCTATCGTCGGCTTCTGTCAAAAATTTTTCTATTTCTTCTCGCGTGAAAACTTGAGACTTTTTTGGCTTATAGCCATCATTTTTTCTCTTCAAAAACGCCTTTAGTTTAAGGAATTTGGAAATGTCTACATTGTCTTGAATGGATAACGTCGATTTTAGCATCGAATACTCACTCCATAAACTTGCAGGGGACTTTAGGGTCTGTGACTTCTCTACAAAGTACGCCAGCAAAGAGTTCTCGGTAATGCTTTCACCACTTGCAATATTACTGCACCAAGCCTTGAAGTCCTTGTAACACCGATTGTACCGTTCCTTCGATTTCTGAGGTAATAGAGCAGCACAAGCTGCATTCGCAACTGCATCGATATCCATTATTTCGATTTTTTTAATAAAATGACACTGACAGAACATTTGTTTGATTATAAACAATATGAATTCCATAGCGATCAACGTGTAACACTAGGAAACCTGTCATACATACAGGGTTTTTCAGTTAGATTAGTCAAATTATATAAGTAATTGAAAAACATTTTTTTTAATCTAAGGGAACTGGAGTAGGAAAAATATAATACAAAACTCGGGAGGCAGTGTTCTTGACCAGTCTCGGACTATTTTGCAAGCCCTCGCTATCGCTCGGGCGCAAACAATGTCCTCGACTGGTAAGTATCACTTGCCTCCCTTGTAGTGTAAATAACTATTTTTCAATAATGAAATTCGGCACCTTCGAAAAACGCCAACTTCGATGACGTCATGAACCGAACCGAAAGTCATCGTTATCTGAATTCTGGCATTAGAATAAAATGTAGGACCACATATTTCGATGCTGCCAGATTTCTAACTAGTAATTACCTTATGAGATTCAATATCACCAATTACAACAGTAATCAGTTCGACCTGGTCCCTAATAATCACTTATTAAATACTTATATCCTTGCAAGATGCTTCAGTATCAATAAAAATGCATATCCTAGTATTCCTAATAATAATCGACATTTTATTTAAACCCAAATTAGTGTGTGGCCTTGGCAAGAGCATAATGCCTAGAGTTCCCTGGAATACAAGAAGAGAAGACGAACTATATTGTGAAACTAACTTTCTAACGTCAATATCGTCTGTCAACTTCATCTTCAAATCATTTTTTCATCTAGTCAAGATGCGAATATACAGAAGATAATACTCTTATCATCTGATTATTCAGTTGTGTGTTGTGTTATCTATAGTAAGTATTCGGTCCAGAAAATTCACTAGAGTCTAGGACGAGCACCTTCTGAGAAATATCCTTGCACTTGTCTTACAGAAATAGCGTTTTTCATGTTACGAAATATCGTGAATTTGAATAATTATTTAACAAATGTACAGAGCTCTGTGAAAACAACGGTTTGCGACAATAAACTAGTTAGGGTTTTGTACTTCAATATAACGAAATAACATTTTTCACTGAAACAGGCCCAATGTCAACTAATGACACAGACTCAAAAAAGGGGAATGAGAATCATCCTGTATGAGTACGGAATAACAGTGAAATTATCACTACAGAGCCATCATTATCCTGTTAAGGAAGAAGTGGATATATAAGCGTAGGTCAATTTTCATTTCTAAAAATAACCACTGCCAAACAAGACAGTTAATACAAAAAGTGATACCTCTAAAAGTTTTTCTCTTGAAATCAAAACATTAGCATGATATAGGTACTCTGGCTCACAATACAACAACGACGATGACGAAGGCGACAATAACAACGAAGGATAAAAAATCACTCAGTAGTAAAATACGAAAGGTATATTTATTATACCTATTGCCTGATGATTCCTCTCTACAAGGGCGAATCCAACCCACGGGTTTCAGAATCCCAATATTTATGTAAATAAATCGTAGAAATAATCCATACTAAAAGTGGTCCAATGTATTTTCAATGAAAATAAATATACTCAAAGTCATTCTATCACACTTTATGTTGAAATTAGTCAATTAAAAAGTAACCAGTTTCGGCACAACGGCCATCATCAGACTGCAATGCCTCATAAAGACACAATAAATCATTAGAAGTTAAACATCCTTGGGTTGACCATCAAGGTAAGTCAGGTGGAGTTAGGAAAACTTTTTCTCCCAACTTCTTTGTTTATGCAATTTTTGACAATTTGACCGTAAATTATGAAAATATCATCATAATTACTTAAAAATGGTATTCTTGTTTAGTTTCAATAGCACTAAGCCCTCACTATTTTCCAGATGAATCGATTTTAAAAGTCTGCTGCGTAATAAAAATAGGCTACCTACCAAATTATTTGTCAATTCTTTCTTTTTATTACACCTTCCATATTTTGAATCAAACATCATAAGTAGATGTTGAAGGAAGTGGTGTTTTCCATGAAACCATAATTTTTCTACAAATTCGGCAAAATCGATTTATCTCGAATATGGTGAATGCTACAGAAACTAAACAAGAATACCATTTTTAAGTAAAAATGTTGAGATTTCCATATTTCCTGGTCAAACTGCCGAAAATTGTATGAACACAAAAGTTTGGAGAAAAAGTGACCCTTATGTCTCACGCCCCTTATCAAAATTTCGAAAAATTGTTAACATTTTCAAATTGGGCATAAATAATAAGGTATATGTACAAATTTTGGTTATTGTTTCACAGAGGATCTCGAAAATATTCCCATAAAACTA